CCGGGACCGGCCGGTTCTGGTCTCGACTTTCCTATACGTGGGACATGGTACCCTACTTGGATTGTACTAGGTTCAGTTCCAGATTGGTACCATACTATTGGTCTTTTAGTTAGTCACAGAATCGAGTGAAAAAATTTGATGCACATGTTTTCAGATTTGAAAATGGAAAACTAAAAAATGAAAATAGAAAAATGGAGATAGAAAAAATGAAAAATGAAAATAGAAAATTGGACAAAGAAAAACAGAAATGGAAAAGAAATAATTACATAAATATGACCAAAATAAAGATGATTTACAAAAATATGATTAATTACTAGAATAATAATGAAATCATAGTAATTCATGTTCAAGTTTTGAACTTAAGTTGCCACAACACTAGATTGTAGTAATGAATAATCATATTTATGTAAATAAGTTTTATTTTTAGTAATATTCTTCTAAAAAAACTCAATGGAAAACTGTAAAATATTTCGGGCATTGCTTGGCGCGCCGTTAGTTTTATTGAATGTAACCCTATTAGGACTATTTTAACCTTATTTAGTTTTAACGAAAATGAAAAGGGATGCAAGCTAAAACTCCGCCTAATATAAAACGAGTTCACACGCACTGCCATAAACTTTTGGAAAATTCATTCATTATCCAATACATTTCAGCCACGTAAACAATCGCTATTTTTATGAAATGTTATAACATTTTTCATTTATACTCTGAATTTTTACAAAATATATATACATCAAATCAAACATTTTATGTGAAATTTATTCTATTTATAATATCAATAAGGATGTTTTTAATTTGATCGATTTTTTCTAATTTGTCTAAGTCAGTATAATATAATATAATTATTGAAGTCTAGTCTTGTCTGATTTGGTCTGTTTTAAGTTAAATATGGGTCTAAAGCTAGTTTAATCATAGTTATATGTAATAGAATAAAGACAATATTCAATAAAAATATGACTAAAAAAGTATATGTACTACAATATATGACCGTCTAAATATTATTGAACGTTGTATGCGACTCAAACACAATGAAACAGATCAAAAAGGAAAATGGAGATAAAGATAGTGGGGTAGATAAATATTACCGGACATTGTATGCGACAAAAAATGAAATATTTTTTATTTATATTATCAATAAATTTATTTAAACAAAATCGCCAGAACTGGCCCGGGACCGGCCATGTACCTAGGACCGGGACCCATATTTTTTTGGTCGGTTCCGGACTTCCGGCCTCCATACCCAAAAACCGGGACTGATCAGTCCGGGACCAGAACCAGGACCAAACCAGATAGGGTCCATATCCAGTGGAGGACCTAGGCATCGGAGCTCAGTGTATGCACATATATAACACTAATTATATACTACATGAGAATAAAAAAAAGACTAAATAAATATACATAGATATAGTAAAAGAAAACGTACCTCTATAGTTGTCCTCGACGTGCTTGCATATTTTGAAAGTGTTGAATAATTAACTCATCGTCAATGCCATCAAACACATCACTTTCTATATAAGGAACTAAACAATCATTCATCCAATCATCTCCCATCCGATTTCGCAACTCGGTTTTCACAATTTTCATCGCAGAAAAAGCTCTTTCAACCTTGGCTGTAGCAACAGGTAATGTCAGTGCTAACTTCAGAAGCAAATAAACTAACTGATAAACACGATGTTTCCCCGTCTTCACCAACATCTCTGCGAGGCAAGCAATTCCTTTCAACTCTGAAAATTCATCATTACTTCGCATATCAATAATATAAGTCTCCAACTGATTTTCAAGAACTACCAACTCCATGCTCGAGAAATCACTTGAGTAAAATGTAGCAAATTCAATCAACTTGAGCTTGTCAAATGCTTCAAAGGACTTGTATGGACTCAAACACCTCAAACAAAGAAGCAACTTAGTGTTGGACTCACTAAAACGGTAATTAAGCTCTTGAAGTTGCATATCCACAATTGTATAAAACAAGTCATACCGATAATGCTCCCAATATTTGATATCCTTAGCTTTGCGTCGCGACCTGCCTTTTGGTATAAATTTGTCTTCCATATTAGGAATGTCAAGATCATGAACTCTGCAAAACACATACACTTCCTCTAATAATGGATCCCATCCATTATCTCTCATATCTTGCAAGCGTTCCTTCGCAATAGATACCAATTGCATCGCATTAAGGATATCTTGATCCTTTCTTTGCAATGCTTGAGATAGTTCATTCGTAATTCCCAAGACAGTCTTCATCAAATGCAAAAAGAATGCAAAATCAAAAGTTTGTATAGAGTCTAAATGTCGCATAGCCTCACCCTTTTGATCTGAAGTCACCCCATCTTCTTTGATAACTTCAAGAACATCAATCACCGAGGAATACATTTGAACTAAACTAATCAGACTGCCATAATGTGAACCCCAACGAGTTTCACCACTTCGCTTCAAACCAATTCCTAGGTTCATGCCTCGCCCTGTCTGAATTTCACCCTTTTCAATTCCCTCTTTAACTTTAGCTGCATGTGTTTCACGAAGCAAGTCGTATCGCTTACACGACCCCCCAATCCGAGGTTGTTTAAAAGTATGAGACCCACTAGCTTCATTATGAATTACATCACGACGTGGTCTTGTAACGGTGACAAAATTATACATGGACATTGTATCTATACAAATAGAAAAGTAATAAAATTAATTATTTTTATTTTTCCCTAGTTACAAATATAAAATTAATAACATAGGAAAGTAAAACTACACTAGTTGTCTATACAATTAATTCATTAATCATTGAATGTGAAGTACGTTGAAGAAATGATGATTAAAGAATACAATTATAATAATAAACTGCCATAATGCTTTAATAATTTAGAATTAGAGTGTAGAATAAAACCTTGAGTGAGAGGTCCTCTACTATTGCTCTGCAATTTTTTACACAAATAATGGATTGATTGTTAGTAATAAATGATTCGAACAATGATAAGTTGATAATAATAATTATTAACTATTGAAGCTTTAATATTAAAAAAATAAACCTCAAATAAATCCAAGGCAGATTTGAGAGAACCGAGTGAATCGCCGGAGGGACATCCTTGTGTTGCTGTTGGCTAACATAAGATACGTAGTTTTTTTTAGATTAGGGATTTTGAATGGATGTGTTTTTAAATTTTAATTGCAAAAGTGTGAAATTTTAAGTACATACGGCCCAGTTTAAAAGGGAAAAGAAAATTAAAAGCCCATTGCCCATACGCACGGCCCGTGTAATAAAAATGGCTATTGAATAACTTGAGTTGCAGAGAAGTATAAAAAAAATCGAGTGTAGCCTAATGGGGGATTCGAACTCCTGACCTGATGCCTAATGAGGATTTTATTTTTTAGGCTACTACCACCTAGGCTAGTAGCACTTTTTGAGGTGAAGCCAATGCTTACCCTCATTATACCATAGGTCCGCCCCTGTCCATATCAAACCAAACCAGACTTTGATAGTTGTATGATAAACATAGAACATAAATTTACCTGACCAACCCATTTGAAATCAAACCAGACTTTAGCAGACTAGACTGATACAGATGAGAACCAGATCATATCAGACCAGGCTAGAAAATCTCAGCCCAACTAATCAAATTGTTATTGCCATTATAATTATTAATTAATGCTTCATAATACTTGAATTTGGTCAAATTAAATGAATTTGGTCTTATAAACTAACGTCTTGTTAATTAATACTCTCTTCTCGTCCCAATATAACGAGCACATTTGCGTTTTCAAACATTTTTAGGAGGAACACTGTTTGACACTGTTTGGACACTGTTTTGCACTGTTTTTGTTTGTCAAAAAGGGAAATGCGGCTTTTTATATTGGGACGGCTCAAAAAGGAATATGTACCTTTTATATTGGGACAGAGAGAGTACTTTAGTAAAAAGCACATTAGCTACCCTTAAACTAGAAGAAATACACATGAATTTTTTTTTTGTAATTTAACACATGAAATATTCGTTTCATATTAAAAATCATAAAAAATATTTAATTTGATATGTTTAACACATGTAAATTAACACACATGATTTTATGAATTATGAAACTAAAGATAAGAGTATATGTGCAAAAGTTGTGCGACTTAGGGAGTGTTTTTGTTTGCTTAAAAAAAGCACTTTGGAGCTTTTAGATTAAAAAAAGTCAAAATAAGTGTTTGCTAACCCCAACTTTGGCTTAAAAAAAGTGCTTTAAAGCCAAAAGCTGGAAGCTGGGGTAAGGTAGCTTTTAACTGCTTCTTGGTTTTCTTGTAAATTATTCCAACTTTAGGGATGATTATTATGATAGATATAATTCCCAAAGTCCAGAATACCCCTTATCTTTTGGCAATGACCAGCTCCTGACGTCTCTTCCTGACCTCCATCTTGCTGGTGCGTCACTTCCAAGAAAACAAGAAAACCAAGTGGCTGCTCAATAACATTTGAAGAACTCTCAAGCGAAGAACAATTTGTCTAAAACAAATATATTTATAATATATATTTATATGTATTCAGAGGAGGAAGACGATCGAGTTCGTATCTATTTGCAAGAAATCTTTCATTGCCTTTTACATCAAATTAAAAGGTAAGAACTCTGCCCGCACAAAGCCACTCGCAAATTGGAGACGAACGATTCAGAGGAGCTAGTTGAACAGATCTCCGCCTCTTCCTTTCCAATTTGTCAATTTTTGTTATAAGGGTATTTTTGTATTTTGATAAATTATTACATCAAAAATCACTTTTTTTATCAAACACTCCAACTTTTACATTTTAATCACAATCACTTCTATTCTCAAACACTACCTACTTTTACTATAAATCACTTTTCCAAAAAATCTCTTAAAAAAATCACTTTTAAAAAGCACAAGCAATCGCAAACACTCCCTTAACATTTTAAAAAAAAATTAGTAATTGTTTGTCGATGGTTGATCACCATTCAATTGAGAATATCCACGGACTAGCGTGTGATAACTGATAAGTGATAACTGATAAGTCAATGGTGCCGTCATGAAATCATATACGGAGTTAGGAGATAAATTAAAGAGGTCAATTTAGTCCAATTCGGAAAGAAATGGGGCGCGCCCAGGAATTCGCGAAGGAGGTGCCAATATTTCGGTTGGTAAGCGTGCCCTTGGCGTCTCCATCCTGACCGCCCTGTTTTCCACCCTTCACTGCTCACGCACAGACGCACTCCACCGACCACCGTCTCCACGCAGGTGACGCAGCGGCAGCTTTCTACGATTCGCCGGTTCCGCCTTCGACTTCGGCGATCACCGGTCGGCCTTCTAATTCCAGGACTTCCAGAGACCAGAGTTCCGGCCTTCGACTTCACCCAATCAGCCGTCGACATCGGCCACCAGCACACAACTCCAGCTTCAACTCTCCAAGCCAGAAAGCCTTCAAGAGTTCTGGTCAGGTACACCTTTCGACCTTCAGCTTCTGCAATTCGGCCATTGTTTTTTCCAAAATACAGAATTACAGTTTTCAATATTTTCTTTTATTAATTTGTTTGATTAATATTCACATATGATTATGTGATAAGTTTATTAATTGATAAATTAATTTAATTCACAGCTGTTTAATGTTTATAAATGATTATGAATAGTTGATAAATAATTAGTTGATTTGTTACATGTTAGTCACTTAATTGTTGATTTTTATCTATTGAGTCCTGGTGTTATAATCTGTTCATTTTGTTAGGTAATTTTTTTAATTATAATTACATTTATAAATTTAACTAATTTCGAGGTTTAATAAAAATGGTTAGAATCTGGATGGGCTGCTATCTGAATACAACAATTGCTTATAGGATATTATTGACAGTACTGGTAACTGTGGCCACCACAGAAAGAAGTTTTTCAAAATTGAAGATTCTCAAAAATTATATGCGATCAACGATGTCTCAAGAAAGACTTAATGGATTTGCTATATCAAGCATTGACCATTTGACCATAATGTGTTAGAAAAGCTTGATTATGAAGCTAGAGTTGATGACTTTGGTTCACAATGTTAAGCTTATTACAAGTACATAAAATAGACATTAGTTAAATAACTTGATTGATACTTCAAATATTTCTTCCGTTCAAGAGTAATTTGTTTTTGAAGTGGTTGGAAATGAGCGGGATCCGGGAAAAGGGAACAAAGTATTGGCTGTTAGGGAAAAGATATGAAAACGAAAAACGGAATTTGTTTACTAAATCTTTTAATTTTTTCTTTTTAACTAGAATCCCCCCCACTGAATTTCTATCATAGCCACGTTTCTGGTCAAAATCAATTTCGGGTCTATTCGAGACAATCTTTATGTTCGGACCATCAATCATACACTACTATTTCAGCAATTATCCGCGGAATCCCAATCTACAAGATTACATATATCTCTAATTTTCAAATTTGTGTATGTTATATATATAAACTCTGCCATGAGATCATTTTTGGTATCATGTCTATTCAAAGCCAGGATAAGGGAGGAGAGTATTGTGGTAGGCGCGTGACGGCCAATAGTATTACTTAGTCACATCATATGACAAGAATCAAAATATGAATGTTACTACAGCTAGGTCGTTGCCCGTAAGCGCTGTGTCATCCATCCGCTTTGGGTGATGTCAAATATGCAAGAGCGTGCTACACTTCATAAGCTTGAATGTGGTGATAAGAATGCTAAGGTTGCTACGTTGTCAACCGGAAGAGGCACTCCAATGCCCGGGGATGTTTTTAAATATGCAAGAGCATGGTGGTTGTCGATGTAGTGTGAAAAATAGAAGGCAAGGTGCTAGATTGCGCTTTGAGACGTGGAATGTTGGTTCTCTTACATGAAGGTCATATGTGAGATTACTTTTGATGGAAATGAGATGCCAGTGTGTGATATGTTCCGTTACTTGGACTCTATAATTCTGAAGGATGTTGAATTAGATGGAGATGTGTCTCACAGAATTAGAGCATGGTGGATGAAAGAGTAAATTTTATCGGATAACAATTAAGCATGCATTAATGTATGTCATAGAGTGTTGGACGGTGATTGTCGGTGAAACAATGTCACATTCAAAAGATGAGTTTGACATAGATGTGTATGTTGCGTTGGATGTGTAGACATACAAGAAAAAGGGCGCTTGAGGAATGACATGTTCATATAAAAGGTGGGAGTACCACGTATAGAATATAGAAGATAAGATGGTAGAGTGTCGATTGTGGTGGTTTGGTCATGTGTGTAGAAGACCGAGTAATGTGTGTAGAAGACCGACTAATGCACCTGTTAGATGAGTTGAGAGGTGGGGAGCAAAGGCTGGGAGGAGAGGAGATGAAGACCCAAAAAGACTTGGATTAAAGGAATCAGAATTCAGAAATGATATGCTTCTCCTTGAGTTAGTTGAGAGTATGGGTTTGGAGAAAGCACAGTGAAGGGCGCAAATGTGAACGATTGATCTCTTTTCTCTCTTTCTGTCTCTTGTTTTCTTTTATCTTTTATGTTCTTTATCTTTCTATATTCTTATGTTTTTTTATCTTTTATCTTTCGTATGTTTTTATGTTATTTTTATCATATGTTTATCTTTAACTTATCCATTTTATATTACCTTATCTTTTTATTTTTCTATCTTTCTTCTCTCTTTGCTTCTGATATGATGGATCGATTCATGTTAACCGACCCCAAAATCTTTTGGGAATAAGACTCAGGTGTTGTTGTTGTGTTGTTTATGTTATATACATAGCGTCATAGCCTTTGCATATATCTTGTACATTGCGAAGATTCTGTTTTCTTTTCAGATTTTTTTTAATCACAAATCAAGTAATCTATATCACTATTATGATCAATTTTCCGTCCCACACAATAAAAAAACAGTATCAATTACAAGCAAACAATTTGATATCCTCTGCTTCTGATTTACCTCGTATCAGTTAGGCCCCAAAGTTTTACTTTTTCCCTGCTACGCTTATAAACTACGCAGTATAATTTTTTTAGTTCACTGTGTACATGAGGCTGCTGTATTGTGATATGCCCAATTACACAGACACTTTGCATACGAGAAGCATTGTAATAATGAAATAACTAGATTTTCAGCTGGGCAATGCAGATAGAAAATTTTGATATAATTTTCTATAGTAAATAGGAGAAGTATACTAATAGTTCTGTCAAACATTTGCTCAAATTAGGTAAATGCAATTAATTCTGGAAATCTATTTATTACTGACTTACTGTTTTTATGGAGATTCTTATTGTTGTTTTTAGTTGCTGAAGTTGTGGTTAGTGTTCATTTTGCAATGTATGTATTATGTAATGCTTGAGGAATGTCAATTGTGAGAATGAACGGGGATTAGCTAACCTCTAGACCAGGATAACTGTTACATGGGGCTATCTTTTTGCCTACTTTTGGAATAAGGCCATCATGCAACAGATATGGGTGCCCCCTACTTAAGGATTCCCTCAGAGAAGAGAGTAATGAACTCTTTGAATCTGTGACTATATCATTTTCTATTCGCTTCTTTTTAACCTACTTTTGGAATTAGGGTCCCAACAATCATAAAGGACAGTAGAATTAAGGGTATTGTACCCTCTAATCATGACCCAAACAAAAACTTAGGTACCTTTTTGGTGAGTGGTGAAATTGCTAAAATTTATTAATTGGAAGTGTTTGGTAATTATTTTGGCTGAAATGGCCAATTGAGTTTGAAACTAGCTAAAAGGGTGTGTAATAGTAGTTTTGAATAACTAAAGCAAAATAAAAAGCTAAAGTAGTCATTCTCTTATTGGACAGTTGTCAAAATCAGTTTCATCAGAATAAGTTGTTATGCTACTAGACGATGGGTACAGACTGAAAAACTTCTCAACCATGTACATCACAATATTTGACAGTTTGAGTGTATGTTTACTACAAAAATTTAAAAGTTTAACTGTATTTTATATGCTTACTGTTTTGATGTGTTATTTTGATTACTTATTTGTGTTAATGGGATGAGTTTTTAATAATGGCTAAACAGTAACTACTATTTGACTATTTTCTAATTTTGTATTTGAGTTATTTTTTTATTTTTAAATATGTCATGAGTTGTTGATTTTTTACTCTCACTGTATCAAGTTCTTGGCTCTGCCGCTACTCCAGGGTATCATTATAAAATTTCAATTTATGTGATGGCATTAAACCAAAAGCAATTACACTTTCATTATTCTTTAACAAAATTTTAAAATTGATGAACTGAATTTTGGGGACTTGTTTCCTTTCTTGCGAGATCCATTCCTCTCACAGTAGCTCTCTACAGCTAAAATATAAATATAAAAAATTAAAGTACCTAATGCCCCTCTATTTGTTTCAACATCTGGATGTTTTTATCTGAATATTTTTCTGCCCCTATGTCTTTAGGGCATCATTGGGAGCTTCATTTTTCTGTGCGTGGTTATGTTTTCAATTAGTATGCTCTTATAATCTCTGCATATCCTAAAAAATTAAAAAGCTAGCCCGTTTCGTAAAAAAAGCTAGCTCGTTTTTCGCCTCACTCAAACACTTGCAGCAATGGTCTAAATTCTGATTTTGCATATCTAAATATATACTTGCTAAGTTGCTATCATTACTGTAATCATCCTACTAGAGTACTACATCAGGTCATTTGCTAAAGACCTGTATTAGAAAAAAATGAATTGCCTATAAAGTATTAACATGAATTACGTTTCTATCTGCTATAGACGTTGATTGGAATCTCTAACAATGCTTTTCCTTGCTTTTGACAGGCCAGTAAGGTGATGCAAGGATGTCTTCAGCGGATATGATGTGTGTTTTTTCCCAGTCTGTTTGTGAAAAATTCAACCCCCCAGTTCTTGCTTTTTGATTAAATAAATAGTAGTATATCACTTTATATAAAATGCACTGATTTTTTAATGGCATTTATTTGGATGCGAGAATTTTCCCACTAACTTCATTTTCAGCATCAAGTGATATTGATCAATACAATCTTATAACTGCATTTGTCCAGGAAACTTCTTTGTGAATATTTTTATTTTTATATTGCAATGAGCACGAGATCACATATTCTAAATTCTAGTTCGCTAATAGCGGTGGACAGTAAATGAACTTGTCTTTATGGTGCTGTAATACCTTGACCAAGAATGAACTCTTTGCTCTTTTTCTTTAGTATAAGTAAAATTCTAAGCTTTCTTTGTACTTTATTCAAATAGACAACAGGATCGGAAAGCAGCTGAGATTGACAAAGTAGAAATCCATTCATCTTTCAGTCCAGGTGACATTAACACCTGTCATCTTTTGCATTAAACTGATTACTTTCATTAATGCAAAAAATGTGAAATCAATATTTTGTTAACAAGTACGTAGTAACAGATTTAAATGCTACGAGTCATTCATTTTTCCTAGCTTGTTGATGGTTCTAGAAAGGGTTATCCTTGGGTTTTTTGGTTGGATGGTCAGTACAGTGTGAGATATTAGATTCTAAGTGGGGTTTATTTCATGAGATCCTCTGGCCTCTCCAACTATTGTGATTGTCTCATCTAATCACTTGGACATCCTTTTGTACCACCAACCTTACACAGTTTTTGTTTCAACCACTCGACCTCCCATCGTCGACTTGTGAATTTCTTATTTCTTAACAAAAGTTGGTTTCCAACTGTTTTATTGAATGTTATTTTTTCCGAACTGTTTTACCAAGTGTTCACACTACCTTTCACCTTTGGATATCTTCAATCAACTACCAAAAAATTAAAAAGCTTCAATTTTGTTCAAAAAATTTCCAAGACCATTGAAATTTCTTTTAAGATATCCCACCTTCCCAAAATTTCTTTGTCTGGTTCTTCATGGAAATTGTGTCCTCTTATGGGTAAAGGCATTGTAATCACAATCACAATCACAATCACAATCACAATCACAATCATCATATGTCACTTGTCAGAAATTTTGGAAAAACTTCTGGCTTTTAGGAATCGTCAGAAAAATAAATGTGAAAAGTCAGAAATTGTGGGAGACGTGTGGAAACAAGTTTGCCGCTTCAAAATTAATGCAAATATTTATGAGAAATAGGTTTTGTCCATCACTGAAACGTAGTTTATCGGTCTAGTTCTCATAAATCTAGTTTATCGCTTCAAAATTAACAAAAACCTAGTTTATCGCTTCTTGTGGGTGTAATGTGTGAGACAGGTTTCCCACATCAAAACCTAGTTCGTCGTTCTAGTTCTCATAAATGTTTTTGTTGCTGATTCCAGATAACGATGAGGATGACCTGTGGTACGTCGATGACGGACCATCATGTGGTGATCCTTTTGAAGAAGCAGACGATGCATCTGATTTGGAAAGGGAGTGGAAGAGGAGGCATGATCAGTTCCATAATGTATCCTATCCAAGTTATTAGACGTATATAGCTGAAAGTAGTTGCTGTTCTGTCTTGACTAGTTAATTATTAGATGGGATATCGTGATGGCCTTATAGCTGGAAAAGAATCTTCAGCACAGAAAGGGTTTAATGCTGGTTTTATAGAATCAGTACACATCGGATATAACTGGGGTGTGCTCAGAGGTGTAATTGGGTTAGTAAGAGAAACCAGCTTCATTTTCGTGCATTGAACATTTGTATTGATATAGCTCTCTCTCTCTCTCTGATTGATGAAGGAGTCTGGCGTGCCTTCCCCCTGAACTGCAAGAAAGGTTGATAACAGAGGAAAGTAGAATGAAGTTCCACAAATTTCAAGAATCTCTACAGGCTGTTTCTGCTGTGGAGGATGCATTGAAGATGTTCAATGAATCCCACCTGTCAAAGAGATCGGCAGGAGAGCAAAAAGGTGAGACCGTTGAATCTTCTGATGATTGTTTCCATAATTACCAATGTGAGTTTGAATCGCTTATCCGTGAGCTGCCTGCAATTAAATTGCTTTCAAAAGCAAACTACTAGTGTATACCTACCTTTATCATACTTGATTGTGCTGTGTTGTGTTTTGTCCATCACCAAAATATTTCTGCCGCAAGATTGTTTGCAGTTTCAACTATTACTTATTGTCTCCACTATCAAGTGTCAGTGAATGTTTGAAAACATAGGCTTTTTCCGCTTCTACTTTTATTTTTAACTTATTACTTATCACTAATATAATCATATTGGACCACATCAGATCAGTAACAATCAACAAGTTGTTGAGAGGATTTGAATTTGTTTTCCGGGTCACATGTATTGTACCAAGTGGGGCATTGGTTATGACTAAAAGATGCTGTATTTTAGAAAGGTAAAATTTGGTAGATAGGGAATTAGGGGCCCTACAAAAACCTCTTTTGAGGAATGGTCCAGACCCTAGCTATAGGTAGGCTTTCAACCTATGTTGTAAAAACCGGACCGGAGAGTGACCCGGTTGAATGATCGGGTCATGGGTCAACCCGGTCAATGCCGTAAAACCCGGTCAACTGTTATATAAAGTTTTATAGTAATAGACATTCTCCGTAATCTTTACTCAGCAAGTTTTATATTAAAAAATATTATCGATATTTTTTCTAGTCTTAAGATATTTGATTGTTTAAATATAGTAATGTAAAAAAATTATTAAACCTTTCTGAATATTTAATATTCAAATATATTGATTATATTCACACATTCATTATATTCTAAAATACAGAATATAATTTTAGGCCTATTTTAATCAGTAATATTATTTAATACTCCGTACTTATTAAGTATATCTTTAAATATTTACATTTTGCTTTTATTTTGTATAGTAAATATTTAAAAGTATAACATACTTTGTTCAAACATAAATTTGAAGAAATACTTATTAAAAAATGTTAAAGTATTTTATAAGCATTTTAACTAATATTCGAATGTTTTATACGTAATAGCATTGATATGTAGTATTTTATTTAATTTGTTATTGTATTTATTAATATTTAATGTAAAAAGAAATTAACTTCATCCGTATTAGATAGATATTATAACTGCTATGTTGCTTTTGGTAACAACAAAAGCATTGGTAAGTTCGTCTCTATGCTACACGCTCAAGCAGGTCACCCGGGGTTCGAATCCCCTCATGACGCAATTTTATAGGATAGGCTGAATGCCGGTTTCTAGCAGATTTCCGGTTTCTGAGCGGGTTGTGTTCCGTCCGGGTCCGAGCGGGTTCTTGGGGTTTTCCGGTTTTGGTTGTATTGCGGGTTTTTCCGGTCCGGTTCGGTTTTTTAAACATAGCTTTCAACCGTTTGTGTCAAAAGGCACATGAACGAACGGTTGGTTCATAAGAGATAAATTTCCCTAAACAACTGAGTTTCTCGCGAGTGTCACTATTTTAGCTCAGGGGGTTGAATAGGTGATAGTCTGACCTCTAAATCAACTTTAGGTCTATTTGTACGAAGTATATCTTAGTGTAATGGATGATACCAAGAATATTTTTCCGAAGTTTTTGTGAAACCAAAACTGTTGTTTGCCTTGCAATAATTTTGAAATACAAAGGATACCAAGGATATTTCTCTGAAGTCTTCTTAAACCAAAACTTTGAGGATTATTTGGCGTACAATAATTTCAAAATTAGTTTAGGTTTGGCGAGTCAGAATAAATTGCAGTTCATGATCTAGTTTCTTTTCACGTATTTCCAAATAATGAGCTTCCACTTGATTCTTATTTCAAATCATGTAATCGGGAGCATAGCTAATTTGGTAGGAAGAGGGTGTCACAAGGGAGATGTCCCGAGTTCAATTCCAAACTAACTTGGAATGGAATCTCACTTTCTTTGCATCAGTGTGTGATCAAAGTTCAATTTACGTTCTTCTAGATTATTGTCCCGTCAGTTTTGAGGGCCTCTCAGAGATGAGGTGTAATCCTTTTTATTTCAAATAATGTTTCTGTGACTTACTCGAGTTATAGCTTCTAAAGATGTTTTTTAATTGGACTCAAAATTTTCTGGTCTGGTTTGTTTAAATCTAGTATGGTCTGAGAAAGGTTTGGTCTACGTATATATTATAATTGTCGAAGTCTGGTTTGTGTTAAAGTCTAGTTTGATTTGGTCTAGAAAATATTTGGTCTACGTGATTGTATAATTGTCAAAATTTGGTCTTGTTTGTGTTAAATACTGTTCTGATTTGGTCTGGTCTGAGACAGAAACTAATCGAAGTTCAAATATTCTAAATAGAGAGTAGATGATTTGTAGAGCCTTTTGTCTTTTTCAATAGAGGAGCGAAAACAGCATTTTTGGCCAACTAATGATACTTGTAAAAGTCTTGCTTTATTATAAGATCAGATAAAATGCATTTTATATTAATATTACCCCATTCTCAATCTAATAAATAATTAAATAAAGTATGTTAATATACAATATGGTCATATTTTTTATTTTCAGCATTGCCTCCAGGCATTTGTGCGCAGGTCCAACTAACTTGAACTCAAGTTCAAAGTTAAACTACAATTTTATATGAAGATTTTGTTTGGTGTTTCTATAATAGTGCTAATTAAACGGAACGCTAAAAATATGATCTTACGAATTACCTAGTATGAGTCCATGAGACTGAATTACTGTTAACACTATAAAGATAACCTACCGTGGCACTGTATGATTCCATAAGAGAGTCATAATGTCATATGGTTCTCTTTAAAAATTTTGCTAAGGAGAGGCCACTATAAAAAGTGCCGTAGTTGGGGGCCGACCTAGCCCATTTCAAATTGATATAACCCTTTATTTTGTGTGTAAAATTTACGTCTGAAAACTATAGACGAAATTATTTGTGCTGGCTTATCCCTATATCCTTTCAGTTGAACTTGGTGTACACACTTTTTGGTGTACAGATTAAAAAAAGCCTACATCGACATGTGTAAAAGTGTGTACACAAAAAAAGTGTGTGCAAAGAGTATTTTTGATATCCTTTTTTAGCTATGCCACAGCCCATTTTGATGTAACCTTTTAACCATACATTGTATTTTAGGTATATGCAATGTTGCAAAAGGTGTTAGGCCCTAACGGCTTGCTTGGGTGGAATGTTGAAAGTTTGTTTTGAAAGAATTAGAGTGTTAGTGAGTGCTTAAAACTGTTAGGTTAAACCTCCCTAACACCTCTCTCTATAAGTGACTTCTTTAACACCCCAAATGGGAGTGTTTTGGAGTGCTAGACATTTGGAGTGTTTTGGAGTTGGACAAATCTTGATCCTTTTCATGTTGGCATTCTATTCGAAGGCTTTCCATCTCCCAACTCTCACGCAAAAGAACATTTCGAAGAAAAACGCCCATGAATAGAAAGCTCTCCGAGAAATCTTCCTAGCACTTCCAAAGGTCTCATGTCACAACCAATACCTTAGGCACCGTGCTAACATCAACAGCGAAGCCATGGAACTAGTAAGAAATCCTTTAAAACTAGTATAATACCCGTGCGATGCACGGGATAGTTTATTTAGATGGTGATTAAAAAAGAGAAGTACTTAAAAAGTCATTAAAAACATATTAGAATGTGAAAGTCGTTAATACATTACCAATTTAGAGTGCATCTGATAATTAATACAGTAATTGTCTGAATTAACTGATTCTACTTAAATTGATGATGTTTTGGCTAAATTGTGTGATTATACTAAATTATACAAATAATAATTTTAAAATTTATTTTATTAATAAATAAAGAAAAAAACTTTATATACTATGTACTATTTAAAAACGGTCAGTCCGGTGTATGAGAAGGCACATCACGTTATTAACCCAAATTCAGTACCCAAGGATTGGTTTGAGTAAATAAATTCTGATAAGTCCCTTTCAAAAAATCTGATGCACCAAAAATACCAAGGATCGGTTTGAGACTTTGAGTTAGGGATGGACCCGGGCCGGTTCCAGTTCAGGACTGGGCCCAGCCGGGCTTTTTTTGGGAAGGGAGAACCGGAACCGGCCCGGGTAGGCAGCTATTCCGGGCTAGGCCGGTTCACTTCTTATTTTTTTTTAAATTTTCTTTTGCTTTTCTAATTAACCCCCGACTCCCAACCTCCCCCCCCCCCCCCAAACACCCAGCCCAACTCGGGAAAAACAAAAAAAATTGAAAAAACAAAAGGAAAAAAAATGCCCGAACCGAGCCCGGCCAGGCCGGCCTTTTTCATGACCCGGGCCCGGAACCGCTTAACCCCTCGGGCCTAGGCCCAAACCGGAACCGGTTCCCGGGCCGGGCCGGTTCTAAACAGTACCGGGCTGGGCGGCCTGACCTGAGTCCACCCCTACTTTGAGTAAATAAATTCTGATAAGCCCCTTTCAAAAATCTGATGCACCAAAAAACACGGCTTCTTAAAATCCACTTTTTATGATTGTAATAACTAGTATTTACACCCGTGCGTTGCACGGGAGTGAAGTGCCTAAATACAAATTCACAAGCAATTATATAAGAATTATAATAAACTAAATGGCAACCCGATTTATTAAAAAAGTTAAATAAAATCCTAAATGATGTGTCTTTGTAGGAACAAACTGAGAAATAAATTGGAAATAGGTGTGTATGTACCATTAAGCATTCATTTTCATGCATTTTTCACATTCAGAAAATATTTCATTATTAAATATTAACCAAAATATACCCAATTTTCCATTTTTCTTTATAAAAACTGAAGTTTTCCATTTGCATGAGAAATTGGTATGCTGCTGATTTTATGTAACAGGAAAAATCCTTGGTTTGATGAGGCAAGTCTCTTGCTCTGATTCTATCCATAATAGATACTCTTTCCGTCCCATTGGACTTTGTCAACTTTTCCTTTTTTGTTATCCCAAAAAAATTTGCCACTTTCCTATTAAAACAATTAATTTGTGGTTCTGCACATTTCTCTCTTCTATGCACAAATTTCAACCACACAGTTTTTACTATTCTTATTTCTCACCTACTTTACACTTGGCAAAGTCCACTGGGACGGAGAGAGTATAAAAAAGTTACATAATTTTTTTGAAGGATTTGCTCACCTTATCTTTATCTGTTAAAGCATTATTCAATTGCCTAATTTGCCTCATGCGGTGGACGGCATGTTGCCATAGGCCTTTTCTTGGTCCAAATAACAAAAGAGAGATCTAGTAAAAATGAATCTAAAATATAAATAGTTATAGGAACTTACGTCTTTTGGAAGTTTGTAAATATTTAGTTCAATAAGATCAATTTAAAATTTCATAAAGAATTACTCA